ACCCAGGCTGGAGGGCAGTGGCACACTCCCAGCCACCGCAGCCTCAACCTGCTGGGCTCAGGTGATCCTTTTGCCTTAGCCTTCCAAGTAGGTGGGACTACAGACATGCACTACCATGCCCACATAATTTTTTGATTTATTGTAGAGATGAGGTATTGCCATGCTGCCCAGACTGGTCTAGAACCCCTGGTCTCCACAATCCTCTCATCTCAGCCTCCCAAAGTGCTGGAATTAAAGGCATGAGCCACTGTGCCCAGCTCCTTTCACATCTTAAAAAATTGTTTTCTGACCAGGTGCGGTGGCTCAAGCCTGTAATCCCAGCACTTTGGGAGGCTGAGGTGAGGGGATTGCCTGAGCTCATGGGTTTCAGAACAGCCTGGGCAACTTGGCAAGACCTTATCTTTACAATAAACAAAAAAAAATTAGGCAGGCATGGTAGCATGCGCCTGTAGTTCCAGCTACTCAGAAGGCTGAGGCGAAAGGATCACCGGAGCCCAACAAGTCGATGCTGGGGTGGTCATGAGCATGCCACTGCACTCCAGCCTGGGTGACAGAGTGAGACTCTGACTCAAAAAAAATTTTTTTTCCTTGGGGCAGATGTCATGGTATAATTGTTGTGTAACAGAAGAACTTAAAAGTTGACTTCCAATTTGGGGAAAGCAGATTATTGTTTTCTTTTCTTTTCTTTTCTTTTTTTTTTTTGAGTTTGTGCCTGTCAGGGAAGGGATCATGTCTTGCCCTCTCCTTCCCACTGACCCTTCTGGAAGGAGATGGTGCAGAGACCATGGACTCTGAGATGAAAATGAGGTTGAAGAGCCACACAATGGAAGGAGCCCGGGCCCCACATGATAGAGAAGCGCCCACACCAGCCCTGGACTTTCTGCACAGACTTCTGTGTGAAGGACAAATGCATACACCTTTATCTTGAGGAAGCCTGTGTCATTTTGGTCGCAGTAGCCCAGCCTGTGTCCTCACTAATTAATACACTGTTTTGTAAGGATCCTGATCATTTCTAGCATGATTTTTTCTTACTCAGGTATCAAAAAAGTAACAATGAAGTTGATTTCCCTAAGTCAAATAAAGAAGTTGGATGTTCCTTCAGGTCAGAAGGGGTCACTAAACTCACTCCAGTCTAGGTCAAGAATGCAGCACTATATACGATCGGTCTTTTTCTAAATCAGATAAGGTTATGGTGTTTTGCTTAGTGACTGACTTACTACTGTGGAGTGAACACAATACGGGGTAGACTTTCGCTTTGGGTAATAAGGGGATGGTCTTCCCACGCACAGCAAACCTCTCATGGAATTGTTGATAAATGCTGTCTCATCAGCGTCCAAATAAGTTTTTTCTTTTCTTTTCTTTTTTGCGTCAGAGTCTCACTCTGTCACCCAAGCTGGAGTACAGTGGCACAATCATCATGGCTACCGCAGCCTTGACCTACCGGGCTCAGGTGATCCTTCCACCTCAGCCTTCCAAGTAGTTGGAACTACAGGTGTGCACCACCATGCTCAGCTAATTTTTTTAATTTATTATCGAGACAAGTTCTTGCTGAATCGTCCAGGCTGGTCTCAAACCCTGGGCCTCAATCCTCTTGCCTCTGCCTCCCAAAGTGCTGGGATTTTAGACATGAGCCACCATGCCTGGCCAAATAAAGATCTTATTCCCTGGCTAGAAACAGGAGTTAAAGTGCAAAGACTCCTGAGAGAGACAGCATGAAGGTCTTGGTCACATAAGCATGTGAAACTGTTGCTATCAGCTTGTTTTTTTGTTTTTTGTTTTTGAGTTGGAGTCTCACTCTGTAAGCCAGGCTAGAGTGCAGTGGCACACTCATGGTCACTGCATCCTATGCTGATTCCCAGAATTGGGTAGCCACCCCCACTGGCCACCTTGGAGGGACAAAGTGGAACATGCTCCTTGTAGACAACTTTCTGCATAGATAGATCCTGCAGTTGGCCATACATGATTGTCGGTAGCACCTGGAGGCCAGCAGCCTCCCTTGACGCCAGCCTCTGGAAGTCTCATCTTGGAGTGCCATCAGTAAGACGCCTCCCTGTGCCAGCCTCTCTGGCGTCCCAGAGAGGGAAAGATTCCAGCAAACTTTGCCTGTGCTCACCACAGGGACTTCTCTGCTGGGCGCTGGGCCAGTGCCAATGCCCTCTCCAGCACGGTCTGGACTTCAGCCCTGGGAACAGACTCTTCCTTGGGTGTTCACCTCAGGAATCATGTCTGCTCCCTATCCCTGCCTTTTCCACTCTTGATTCTACACGTGTATGACAGTAAATCCTGTCTTCATCTTCAGGATTTGGAAATGAGATCATTCTTGTACTTATTAATTCTGAGGAAAAATATCGATACACCATCTCATATCTGCTAGAATGGCAGAATAAAAAAGATAACAAGTGTTGTTGAGGACGTGGAGAAACCAGAAGCCTTGGACATTGCTGGCAGAAATGTAAAATGGCCACCTATTGTAGGATTCTCTTTACATGAAAGTCCATAGAGACAGAGAGTAGATGAGTGGTTGCCCAGGCCTGAGGGAGACAGGGTGATTGTAGGATCAGTCGCCCCGTAGCTAGTGGGTGCAGGGTTTCCTCTGGGGGCAACGACAATGTTCTGAAATCAATGGTGATGATGGTTGTGCAACTCTGGGAATATCCAAGAAGCCTCTGAGTTGTACACATTCAACGGGTGGATTATTTGGTATATGAATGATATCTCAAGAAAGATGTCAGAGATAAATTGCCCTGGGGACACAAAAAGGAGAAATTCTGAGAAGTAAGTAAAAGAGGCGGGAGGCCACGTGCACCCAAGTAACAGCCAACCTCCTGTGATGGAGAGGGCACGAGCTGTCCCCAGTGAGGGTAGGGGAAGGCCAGGTCTCAGTGATCGCTGGCCACACTGCCTCTTAGGCCTGTCCCCTCTGTCTGTAACACGGGGACAATGCCTTCTATTTCAGTAGAATGCAATGAAACACTAGACAAGCCGGGCTCGGTGGCTCAGCCTGTAATCCCGCGCCTTTGGGAGGCTGAGGTGAGTGGATTGCCTGAGCCCGCAGGTTTGAGACCTGCCTGGGCAGCGAGACCTCATCTCTACAATAAATCAAAAAATCAGCTGGGCGTGGTCGCGCATGCCTGTAACTCCGGCTACTTGGAAGGCTGAGGCGAAGGATCACCGGAGCCCAGCAGGTTGAGGCTGCAGAGCGGCCACTGCACTCCAGTCTGGGCGACAGAGTGAAACTCCAACTCAAAAAAAAAA